GTTACGTCTCATCAGGAATGTGACAGGAATGAGTCCTGTAGCCATCAGAGTCTGATGGTACCATTCATTGGGTCGAAATCGATCACATTCAAACCTTCCTCTGAAGACTTAACAACATTAGATCTCTCTCTGGAGCCAACTGTTGAGAATGACTTTACCTTTCTCAATTTTAGTTTCTATATTTGATGCTTCTCTTGATTTTTTATGCTTTGATATGTTGATACCTAAATATTTCACCTCTTTTTTTATTGGGATATTACAAAGAGTGTTTAAAGGGCGATCATGAATAGTCATTGTTTCACATTTCTTCATATGCAAATGTAGACCAGAGGCATTAGAAAACTTCTCTCAGCACCTTTGAAATTTCTATCCATCCATCCATCTTCTAACACGCTTGATCCCAAGTGGGGTCGTGAGAATGCTGGTGCCTATCTCCAGCTGTCAATGGGCGAGAGACGGGGTCCAAACAGGACAGGTCGCCAGTCCATTGCAGGGCAACACAGAGACAAACAACCACTCACCCACACCTAAGGAGAATTTAGAGAAGCCAATTAACCTAACAGTCATGTTTATGGACTGTGGGAGGAAGCTGGAGTACCCGGAGAGAACCCACGCATGCTCAGAGAGAATATGCAAACTCCATGCAGAAAGACCCCAACGGGGAATCGAACCCAGAACCTTCTTGCTGTGCTACCCACTGCTGCACTGAACAGCCCCCTTTTGAAATTTTATTGGTATTTTTTTAAAAACAAGGTTGTATCATCAGCTAGTTGAGTACTTACCAAGGAGCTTCCCATCACTTTCAGCGGTTCAATATTTAGATAATTTTTTATAAAAATTGTTAAAAGTTCTGCCACAATAATAAATAGTAAAGGCTCTCTTTATATCTCTCTTTTTATATCGAAGCTTTTGGTCGTTCCAGAGACACTGAGCTATTAATATCCGTATAAAGCAGCTGAATGATGTTTCTACATTTTTCCCCAAAACCAAAATACTGCAGGGCGTTTAGAATAAAGGAGTGTTCGACAACGTCAAAAACTTTATAAAAATCCAAGAAGAAAATGACTCCGTCATCCTCCAGCAGGTGCTTCTAATCTAGTAGATCTAATACCAGTCTTAGGTTATTGTGAATAGATCTGTCTTTAAGAAAAGCAGACTGTGTGTCACTTATGATCTGAGATAAATCTTCTTTTAACCCGTCTGCAATTACATGTGTGAATATCTTATAGTCAGTGTTTAATAGAGTAATTGGTCGAAGATTTTCGATACATCTTTTATCTTTTTCTGGTTTGGGGATGAGAGTAATAAGGCCGTGTTTCATTGTCGGTGTTAATGAATTAGTAAGTAATATGTCATTAATTGTTTGAAAAAGAAATTGTTTTAGGTCATCCCAAAATAATTTTTAAAATGCTGTGGTCAGAGCATCTTGACCCGGTGCTTTTCCAGTGGCCAATTTTTTAATGACTCTGTCTAATTCTTCTAATTTGAAATCTGATTCACAGTTTTCTTCTAGGATGCATCTATCATTGGAACATATTCTTTGATCTCCTCTAGAGAGATATTTGCGTTAGCAGAATTATATTCGGATGAATATAAATTTGAATAAAATCTGTAAATTTCCTCCGAAATAATCTTATGATCAATGCATTCTTTGTTGTCTATAATTTATACTTTTTCTTTCTTCACTATTTTTTTCCCCCAGATTACTAAAATAAGATGTATTTCCCCCCCCCCTTCTTCTATTAATTTGGCTCGAGATCTGATGTAAGCACCATGTGCCCTTTTACGATATATAACATCCAATTGGTTTTGCAGCCTTACAAATTCATATCATATCTGTCATTTCGGGGTTGATATTGATATTGAGAATTAGGGGTGTGCATTGGCACTGCCCTCACAATTCGATTCGATTACGATTCACCAGGTAACGATTCGATTCAGTTCGATTCTATGATGCATTGAGATGCATTGCAATGCATCAAAATCCCATTGACTTTGTAAAATCCGAAATGTGCCCAGATATCCGCTTTCCAAGCTTTTGGTGCGTTTTTAATTAGGCCTACCCGTCTATTGCGGTCATCTCCCTCCGCCTCAGCCCTCTTGATTGTTGTTGGTATGCCCCCGGAAGTAATTGAAACTTCACAACTTGTCCATTTGAGGCCAGAAAATAAACAGTGACATAATCGATTATGGCACGTTGCCGCATCGATGCTGAATCGTGCATGCCCCGCATTGCAATGCATCGCTGAATCGATTATTGTTGACACCCCTATTGAGAATTCTCGTGCCTTGAATTTAAAGTAATCCCATCTCTTACTTATGCTACCAATATATTGGTCAGTTTCAATGATCCGTATCAATTCTTTAATTATTTGAACATATTCCTCATCTTTTAGTAAGCATTAAATTTCCAGTAATCTATTAGTCAGATTTAATTTGAGTGATATAACACTCAAATTAATAATACGGTATAATACAGATACAACACAGTGATCTGTTAAAGGAGCAGAGGAAATGGAGATATGTGAAGCATATTCAGCTACTTCTGGGGTGGCCAACCAGAAATCTATCCTAGATTTGGAGGATACGTATCTTTCGCTCAGAGTGGCAGTCTGTGGGATTGGGGCTCAAACTGCCCTAACTCCCCAAAGTAGGGATTAATTAAGGAACCCAAGCCTCCTGTTTGCAGGAGAGGTGATTTACCTCTTGAGCTAGCCAGCCGCTAACTTTCATTCAGAGTACCAGAAAGATAAGCTACATTGAACCCGAAACCTTCTTGCTGCAAGGCAACTATGCTACAACATCACTGTGCAGTCCACTCATCAAACATTATCTGTGTTCAATTTTTCAATATCACTTGTGATTAGACAGACAGACAGGCAGACAGACAGACAGACAGACAGACAGGCAGGCAGACAGACAGACAGACAGACAGACAGACAGACAGACAGACAGATAGATATTGCTGCTTTTTTAACTTCAGTGAAAATTTTGAAAATAGAGTAAAATATATAGAATTATTTATAAAATGTTTGAAGTAAATTTATGCCATAGGTCTTAATTCTGTAAATATCTGAACAGATCATGTTAAAGCTAATAAGACACTTATGTTTAGATATTATCTGCATTTTTTTGCTTTCTGTTTATGACTTGTAATGACAATTAAGTTTAATCTAATCTATATTCAGTTAAGAATGTAGCTACACTGTTAAACAGGCTGAACACTTTAATTCAGGATAAAGAGTTTATGCTCAGATTTGTTGCTAAATTCTGTAAAAACAGACGTTTTTGCACAAAGTGTTTCACCTTAAGCTCTTCATTTATTCCGTCGCTATGACTGTATGATACATCAGGTTTAT